TTATATGTGCTGTAATGTTAATCAGAAGAGTCAGCGATACATTCTGTATGTTGTTCATCACAGACGGTTACGCAAAATAATAGATGAGGTAAGTTCTCACTCCAATGAACATTAAAATTAATTTACTGTTAATGCATTTTGCTTTTCAGCCTTGCGACTGGAGCAATTATGGTGGCAGAGAGAGCTCAATGCACTACAACTAAAAAAAAAAAACACAAGACCAATTTGACATCACATAAGCAGCATAAAGCAACATGTTGCAAATAGGAAATCACAAACAAATAAAGAAGCTGTGCACACACAGTTATGACAGTTACAACACAACAGAACTTTCCAGTGGTCACCAAAAACTGATGAACAATTAGTAATTGGTAAACAGTTAATGCTACCAGATGTTTAGCAATATCTTCCATAAGATCATGCAATCAGAATGTTAAAACTTTATTAAGACTCATTTGCTCATTTCCCCACAGTATTACAGAACTGAGGTACACCCACAAGCTAGTTTAGGCAGTCAACTCAATCTGCCACTGCCATACACATGAGACATGCCTCACTCACCGTAATCATCTACCAAACACACCCTCCCAATTTGGCGGTCTATTTAAGCTGCGAAAATTCCCATCTCTCCCTCTGTCTGTCAACGCCATTACCGCCCTGCTTCAGTACTGCTGCCTGTTCTTTCAGCCCCCACAGACCACCCCAGTATCCACCTGCAGGCTCCGGTTAGGGGGTTAAAGATATTTGCTCATCACTCCCCAATATCTCTATGTAAACATATCTGCAGGGAGTGATAAGGTCAGAGCCTAGACGTCCAACTCTAACTACTGCTGCATTTAAGCATCGTGTTAGTGGATGAGATTGCTATCCAAGGTTTAAATATTTTAACTTTTTGTTATGTACAGGGCCATGTGGACAAGGAGACACTGATAATTAAACATGAAATAATATATACAAAATCCTTTTATGCACTATTTTGTATTCCAAAATTCCAAAGAGCCTATCATGACGTCAGCCATCCGTTTGTGTACTACCGTTTTGAAGCAGAAACGTGGTCACACACGTTCTCATGTTATAGATAAACAATACACTAAAATATGTTTCTGAAAAGATTTTAAGGGAGAAATAGGCAACACAGTAACATAATCTTGATTCATATTTGATCAGCACTGCCTACTTTAACAGTTGGGTCTTAATAGTTGTTGTGCAGTATGGACTCACTGAGAATAAAGCTGTCGATCACAAAGTGTAATTTACAAAATGAACATCATGCCTTCTGGAAGACGTAAAACTAGTGATTAAGACCATAAACTCATTAGGAAACTGTATTAATGAAGTTAGAAGTAGGCTAAATTTCTCATAAGACTCAATACTACCAGATTTGTTTTTTTGCAGCCCACTGAGCTTCCCCCTTCTGGTCGTTAAAAAGAATGCAGGTTTAAGACACTTCACAGACCAGGAAGCTCTGTCCAATAACTATATACTGTCAACCTGCATATGACCTGCTGTAATAAAACTGAGTGAAACTGTGCAAAACTTGCAGCATTGTGTTTTCTTAGGCTGCAGTGTGCTGAGCTCTCTCGGCCACCACCGATAATTGGCTGATGACCTTCTTTCATAAAAGGAAGTTGTCAGTTTAATGAAATATATAAATGCTTATATAAATGAGTAATAAGCAAAATGTATCACAATAAGACATTCTTTCAATTGGAACAGATTTGTTAATATTCCAACATTTCTCACCCTGACTGACTGGAATTTAGCAGTGAAAGATCTTTATACCATGGTAAATAAAATATATCAATACAACCATCCAAGGAGAAAAAAAGTGTGATGGTTGGAGGAAGAGGAGCAGAAGGGAGAAACAATGTAAAGTGGACAAGAGGACAAACAGATTAAAAAATACATCTGAGGTGGAGGGGCATGGCAGACGTACATAAAAGCTCTCCATTTGTTTGTCATTTGTTATTGCTGGTTCCCAAGCCATCATATCCCTCACTCCTTATTCTTGTTAATGTAATCGCCACACCACTTTATCGAGTTAAAGCAGTTAATCCCGCTGACTGCCGGGTTTCGGTTATCATGCCTTGTTATAATGTCACGGCTTGTCCTGTGCTGTAAAAGCCAGGCAACAAAATATATCCAGCTGTCAATAACAGGCCGGGGGTGGGACAGAAGGTGAAGATCAGAGAGTGGCAGATGAGATGACTCTGTCTATTAGGCATGGGCCGACACATTGGGCCCAAACAATTTAACAACACAAGAGACATGCAGTAGCTATAATGCTGCATTCAGGCAAACTGTAGACGGTAAACCGGATGTTATGTTAGTGGATGAGCAAAAAAAATGGCATTGCTGTATTTTAGCCTTTTGCAGTAGAATGCAAAATGAATTTAAAACTGGATGTTACGTAGCTCCATAACACAAGGAGAACACATGGGTAATCTATATATTTATATAATGCTGGTGTTGGTGCCGGTTACCTTCTGTCTGAATCCACGTGAATGCAGAAGGGAATCATCAGCCTCATTAGGATTGACCTGGGAACCATACATGTCTGTGCAAAATTTTGCAAAGGCAATTCTTCCAGTAGTTTTTCAGTCATTTCAGTTTGGACCAAAGTGGTGGACCGAACAACTGACCGACATTGCCATCCCTAATTAAAAATAATCTTATGCAATTGGAATATTCATATTGCCCTTGCTTTGGTCTTAACAGACAGAATGAAGGAAGTTAAAACACGGCAGAGGACATCCTTCTTCATGCTTTTTTCTAACCAGCTTTGGCCCCATGTTGCTGGCACAAAAGAAAAAGGATGCACATGTCTCCCATTTGTAAACAAAGAATTCCTTTCTACCTTTATTCAAGCTCTTCAGCCCCCTCTCAAACCCCCCTCTCCCTTTAGAGTGCCCTTCACTGTCTGACCTCCAGATGGAGACACCACAGGGGAGAGAGGGTGATAGAAAGAAAATTAAAAAGTAGAGGGGGGTTAGCAATACAGTGATGAATAGAAAGCGAGGGAGGGATGCAGAGATGGTCAGAAGATGTGGCCAAATATAGAGGGATGAAAGGAGGGATAGGTGAGATATTACATGAAGTGATAAAGGCTGTGGAAGTAGGCCCATGTGAGGGCGGCTCTGAGTCAGCCATGCCTGCTTCCCTGCCTGGCCAAACAAATAGTCTCAGGCTCTGGCTATGCTGCAGTACACAGCTTTAATTAAACATGATGTGTGTGTTAGCGTCAAACATATGTGAGTGAGTTTGCATGGCTGAGTGTATCGCTTGCATGAAATGTCAGTCTTGATGAAAAGCACGTTAATAATAAATGATACTGTGTGCATGTGCGAGAGAGAAACTCAGTTACAGAGGGAGATAGAGAAAAAGGAAACCATGATGAGAGAAAGAAAAGCAGGCCTGAAAGAGAAAGTTGATGAATGATAAAGGATGATGATGAATGAGAGAATTCAAAAAGAGGGGAAGAGAGCGGCAGAAAGCGGGATTTCTCGTAAATAATACATGTGATTGATAATGGCTTTATTTCTATGTAAATAATTCTCTCTTTGCTCAGTCCAAGTCACAGACACTGAAATGAGTTTGCCTCAAAGCGGCGCCGTGCTCGTCATGATGCAGATGCAGGGCATTAAAGGGGATGACATTATATTAGGTGGAGTTAATGAGGAAGCCAAATACAGGAGGGTTGCCCCTCTCATGTGTCAACAGATCACCTCCACAGAAGATCCAGCCAAGTTTCAGTCGCGGGTCTATGCTCAAAAAGCTGAATAGGAATTTTCTGGGAATGTTCCCACGCTGATAAGTCACAGCGGGTGGATGACTGACTGTATCAGCGCAAGAAGCATAATGACCTTCTATTAAAAGTCAAAGATCTCAATTGCTGTTTTAAGGTTATTTGTGGTTAGTCCCATGACGCAGTATTACATATGCATTAGTTCAGATAGTTTGGACATCAAGGGCAGTAATGATGGCCGAGTGATTGCATAACATCCGTCAACACAAAGAAATTTCAGACTTAGTCATCAGACTGGTCTGAAAGCACCTTCACAATCATCAGCAAGTTCAGCCCACCTAAAAACTGCAGCCTGGCAACGCGGCTTTGCACCTCAGAGCCAAAAGGCAGACACACAAAGGAAGGAACTTACTCTAAATTCCTGATATGACAAGAATCTGCCTGTCGGCCTGTGTTAAATTCAGCGAAACCAGCAAGTCAAAACACGACTGGTAAACCTGTGCCTTGAGGATGACTCTGGTATGAAAGCAGGCGGATCAGCTTCTAGACCTGAGGCAGTGAACCCTCACACATCGTCATCCTACCGCATGAATCACTCACAACACATCACATCACACAAATCAAAGCACCACTGGAACGTATGAATCACTACATGAATCATCTTATCTGAATAGATGTATACAGTATGCTACGGTACAAACAAATCCCCTCTCAACATGTGCTGTGTGTCTAAACACTGGAGCAGAGAGGTCATAATGAAAAAGTTGTCAGTTTGATTTTCAGTACCCACTGGGAGGATGGACAAGTTACACCGTGCTCTTTACTGAGGCCCCGAACCCCTTCCTGCCTCAGTAGGGCTGTCCTGTGGCCGATGGTAGGAAAAAGCGGTAGTTCTTACCGACTCTGATCTGACTGTCAAAAGGCCCTTCTCTTAACCTTTAGTTAACCAGGATGTGTCGGTTTCCTAATGGGATACTTTCATGCTTCATTCTAGTCCTCATGTCACACCCAACAGGCACTGAAGCATCCAAATGCCTATTTTGTCAACCCGAGTGCACCAAAGTGCTCTTGTGTTCAGCTTAAATACCCATCTGGTAGCTGAATTACCACTCTGGTGTGACCTTACCCTAAATTTACCCTACCTCTAACCCTGTGAGCCCCTGCTGCTTAAAGAATATGTGCAGGCCAATGCTTATTTGAATAAAATTGGCAGTTTTATCTAAAGAAGCAGTCAGCAGTGAAGGCATCGCTTTACCTGGGAGCGTCAAAGCTGTCATAGGATCCCACAGTGTAATGGCGGAAAAGCCTTTTGGCTCGTTCTCCACGGCTCTCTGAAACACAAAATCCCAGCATCAGCACCTACATTAAATCTATTTGCTTATTATACAGCAGGCACTGTTCAGTTAATGTATTAGTAGAACTATAATAATATATAATCATCACAGGAGAATCTGTCTTTTTTTTCTCTGTTACAACACTAACTGATCTAAATCAACTGACAGCAGACCTGCAACCTAAATTCACTGCGTATTAGGGGCTTAACCACCAGGCAATTGATTGACTTGCAGAAAATCTATTAACAAATCAAGCAGTAATAATAATTTATTAATTATTAACCAATTAATGGCTTTTTGAGACATTTGGCAAACAAATATTCCAAATACTAGCTGGTTTTAGCTACCCAAATGTGAGAATGTTCTTTCATTTATGACATTATAAATTATAACATATTTAGTTTTTTGACTGTTGGTCACTTTGGGGAAGTTGTGAAAGGTATTTGATTGCTAAAATAATCAATTAAAAATGAAAATAATTCTTTGTTTTTGCACACCTAAGGCTAATAACGCAAAATTTGCTAAAGAACTAATATATACTTTAAAACAACAGTTTGACATTTTGAGTTACATGATACCAATCTCATGTCTGTACTGTAAAGACGAAACTACATCAAGCAGCCGGTTAGCTTAGCTTAGCATCAAATGATAAAGGATTAAAGGAATCAGCCTACCAGCACCATCTAAAGCTCTCTAATTAACCAATTACACCTTATTTGTTTTGTCTGTACAAAGTGTGGGAAAAGTGTAAAAGGGACACTTTGTGATTCCACGGGGGGGTTGTGTGCTGGCATATTTCTTGGCAAGTTTGTTGTCACCATGAGGTTTCCAGACAACAAGATATTTTAGGAAGTTACTGCATCCAACCAAGGTACGAGGGTATTTCCCAAAATGTCAATTAATACAAAAACTTGTTGTCTTCAATCCACATAATCAAATAATACCAAAACTAGCATCTTAATTCATCATCAGGACTAAATTAGTTGAAAATTAAAAAAAAAAGGTAAATGTGAAACTCGCTGTGTGGTGTGTTTTTTTAAAGTGATGCTGGGTGTTTTTCAGGATGAGCCTGCTGTGTGTGTGTTTGTCTGTGAGTGCGTGACTGGTGATCACCTGATCGGTTGTCTTGGCTTCGAAGCATCACTTCCTCCACACAGTCGGAGGGGAACCAGCCTGTGCGACCCCTGACCGTCCCCTCCCAGTACCCGCCCTCGCCAACACTCAACACTAGAGGGGAGGGCAGGAAAGAGCGGCATGTCAGGAAAAGGCAACACAACACGCACCGACACACACACACACACACACAGAGACACCAATGAGAAATGAACACACACAAAAAGACAACAACATTACACAGACAGAAAGGAAATCATGTAGACGCACACACGGACATGCAAACCTCCTACATACTCACCAAGACATACATACCTGGCAACACCTTAGACTCACTCACAAACACACACATATTCATACCTGCAGACATTGAATACAAACATATATAGAGACCTTACACTCATGTTAGGACATGGCCATTTTACAAACTCATCTGAAGACACTTGGAACTGGCCCGGGTGCTGATCTGTTTCTGAAACCGATAGATCCCTTTTACACCTGGTGTTAACATGCATCTCTTCTAAGTATTAAGTATGTTTTGGTGTTGTTTATCAGCGCTACAGTCAATTTACTGTTTGGCATTCTGGGAAATTCACATATACGCTTTCTTGCTGGTAATGAGGTGAGAAGACTGACACCACTCTCATATGTGTTTGTTACATATTTTATCACCAAGTTATCACCAGCAGCTTGTTAGCTTAGCTTAGAACAACGACCTGGCTCAGTCCAATGATAACAAAACAATCTACAAGCACCTCTAAAGCACACTAATTAGCACAATATACCTGTGTCTAGATCGTTTTATCTGTACAAGAAGTGAAAAAACAACCGGAGGTTTTATGAGGGGTTCATGGGCTGGACAGATAAGAGATTGATATTGATCTTATTTCCCAAAATTCCCAAAAGCTCTGGAGGCCAGAAGTCCATCCATTTGTAGTGTTGTTGGGAATTCTCAACATCTCCAGGCTTAACTGAATGTAAAACATTTTCATTTTCTCGTTCCCTCACATTGAAGTGGGTAGAGCATAAGAAATTTTATAAGTTTTCTCCTACGAATATTTCAGTAACTCCACTTGTGAATTTAGAGACTACAGAAGTTGTCATGACATTAAACATCAGCACGCCGAACACAGAGACTTATCTACTAACTAGTCCGCCTTCACAGACTCGTTGTGTATACAAATGCTTAGCATTACAGGACTCACAAGATTGTGGTGGGAACAGTGAAGATGTTTGTTTATAGCCTAATGTTAGCTTTTTACCTCTGGTAATTGTGGTGGTGATATGATACGTATCACAATTCAGGGTTATGATTCAATATATTGCAATATATTGCAGTACTGTAAGTAAGGTGATACACTGCGATTTAAAAAAATGTAATTTTGGAAAAGTGTATAAAGTATCTATATAAAGAACGTTGAGATCTGCATTTGTATCACAGTGCCTTTAATATCCATCATTACAGTCATCAGTCTCCGTTTACAACACTGCTATCTAACGG